AACAGAATGAAGAAAAATGACACTACTCTGTAGCCTTTGAAGGGTTAATTAACATCAGGGCATAGGAATATTTGAGACTGAGCAGCAAAAGGAAGCTTTGTGGTCTTTATTGTGAAATAGGATCGGAACCCATAGCACAAAGCTGGAGGGGGAGGGGTGGAGCGTGAAATGGGTGGCCCAGGGGACTTCAGAGCCAGGACAATCACACCCATGGTTAGAGTTTGAGTCAAAAAAGTAAGCTAGAATGAAGCCAGAATCTCAGAGAGCAGCTCAAAACCAGCTTTGTGTGGAGCCTTTTTGCAAAATAAAATGTGTGCCTTTTGCTACCCTTAACTTTAGTATGTATAACACAACAGATATGCTAAATGTGGATGTGGTTAAGTGACTATGTAGTCGTTAACAATTCCATATCCAAGACTTTCACTAGGTGTTTATATGATACCTTCTCAATGCTGTCCCTGCCCATTAACCTCTGGTCATTCCAGGTTACCATGCACTCTTATTTTACAGATGTGGAGGTTGAGGCAGAGGAAACTAAGCACCTTCAGGGAGTTTAATCACACAATAGAACAGTGAGTTCCAAGTGTCCTGGCTTCCAGTTCTTGTCCCTGGCAGCAAAGCCACCTGAACAACTTCGATCTTCCTGCTTCAGCTTCCTAGAGTGCTGGGACTACATGCATGCACCACTACATCTGGCCAGTTTGAGTTTTTGTTTTGGGCTATATCATGAAAAATCAAATATTGCATTAGCCAAGGTGAAAGAAACAAGGACCCAAAATTAAGACATTTTTGCTGAGAATGGTGTAGAAGAATGACTTCTGGAAATCTTTGGAAAAAGGAAAAGAAAGCCTAGATATGACAAATCACATGAGTATCTCAGGTTTACAGATTAGGATTTGGGAATGAGATAGGAAACAGCCTCAGGCAAAGACAATAAAACTCGATTTTAGTTTGACTTGGTGGCAACAAACCTTAAAAAAGAAAGGAGGAGCTGGGAGAGACATAGTAGTAAAGCGGAGGAACGGAGGGAGACAGTGTGTTCAGGCGTGTGTGTGTGTGTGTGTGTGTGTGTGTGTGTGTGTGTAAAGGCACTCCCTCGAGTCTGCTACAGTTAAAAGTGAAGGAATAGAAGAGGTCACATAGAAACAAAGTGCAGAGGGGAGAATTGAAGGCAGCCCATAGAACAGAAGGTAAAAGATCACAGGAGAGGGAAGAAGAAAGCCTGAGGTAGCACAAAGCCCCGGGGAAGAAAGCGTGGCAGTGGAGGAGGCCAGTTTAATCAGCTTTGCCTAAGGCAGGCTGCAGTTAAATAAAGGATGTCCAGGGAAGATAGGGCCCTTCTGGAAAGGCCATGGTCAACAGTGGCTTCTGTGACAGCTGTTTGGGGGCAAAGGGACAAAGGTGGGAAGGCAGTGGGAGGAGCCCAGGCTGGGAGGAAAAAGAAACAAAGACCAACTAGGAAAACAGGGAAGGGATAGAGACAGAAGAACTGATGCATCACTAAGGGGTTTTTAGGGGCTGGAAGTTATGTCCTAAGAAGAAAGTTTAGGGGGATTCATAAATAGAACTTGTAGATACCTCTGAAAACTGAAGCTCACTATGGCTATAGACTGAATAAATTTGCCCCTGACTTATTCAGCGTGGGTCCATTTGACCAGCTTATTGCTGGCCAGAGAGACCTGATTTGGTCATTTAAAGCAGCTGTGAACACCAGCCATTACCTGGCTCAACCTGTTTCTGAGTTTGCTTTCTGCTGAAGAAGACAGTCAATGGATGTGTGTGGATGAGAACAGAAAACAAATGCTTCAATAGTGGCTTGTTTTGTAGAGTCATTTCTTCCAGGGAAGAGTCCAGGAGCTTCATGTTGAGCTGAGCAGAATCCAGGCAAGCCTGTGGCTTCAGAGAGGCCTGGAGTTGCCACCTGGCCCTGCTACTTTTGAGTGGAGCCTGAGCCAGTGATAATCCTCCCTGCGCCTTGATGTCCTGTCTGTAGGAAAGCAACCCGAACAGGTCATCATCCACCAACCCTGTGCAGAGTCAGCCCCTGGACAGCGGCTGGCCAGTGGGGAGGGTCTGGCCTTGGCATTGGGAAGCCCGGGGAGGGGTGAAGGCAGGTCAGTCTGGGGGATGCAGACAGCAGACTTCCCAGATCCAGACTTTATAATGAGGCTGAGTAATGGAACATGAAATGTCACAGTCATCCTCCCTTCCATACCAGCAGAGAGAACAAATCATATCTTGTTTCCAAATAAGGCTTGTCAGATTTTATGATTCTGAGAGTTTGGGATTATGTTATAATAATACTTGCTTTTTAAAAAGTGTATCACAGCATATTTATTAATTATTGTAATTATTTATCCCTCTTCAACTATGTGCCTGTCTCTCACTTTTTGTATCTGTCATACATCTATCTATCTGAACTGGTTGAGAATACCTGGCAAACTGAAAAACTCCTATTCCTATCTTTTAAATATGCAAGTTTGAGCTTATGAAGTGAAAAGAAAGTCAATTTTATATCTGCTTTTAGTACCACATTTGGTCTGTGGAAGCTGCCGTTTGAAAACCTTTAGGTAAATATTTGAAATATTTTAAAACTGACATTCTGAATAATATTCTGATGCCACTTCAATAATGTTTTATAAAATTCAGAGGAAAAATAGAATTAAGTAAATTTGAACTTTCCCTTTTCAGAGACAGTTAAAGGCTGTACTATTTGCATATTCTAATGTAGGATCACTAAAGCTCAAGGTCCAAAGCTTCAGAAGAAACTGTCCCTCACAGGCCAAAAGAGCGTGAGCCATTAACCTTCAGCCTTTCATCTGTGTTGGACAAAAAGTAAAGTCTCTTCTTTTTGCAGTGGCTTCGGTGTGGCCACTCACCACGGCCCATGCTCTCTAGATGTGTCTTTGGAAGCACAATTAGAAGGTTTTAAAACCAGAAACACAAGCTCTGTCCTATTTACACATTTAAAGTAAAGGTCATTCTCAGAAACTGGGCTTCCCAGATTTCTCCCCCTGAAATCCCTTAAGATATGTAATACCAACATAAAGGGAATCACAAATCCAGTTTTCAGAAAATGGCATTAAATATAGATTTAAACTTTGACCTTTCGTCCCAAGTGAGAGGACAAAAAATTCTCTTTACAGTGAAGGGCATGTTGCTCCTAAGCTTCAATGAGTGGGAGAGAACCTGCCTAGTAGTAGCCAGGATTAAGAAGTGCCAATCGATTTACCTCCAATGCGGGTGTGCTGCGAATCCGCTGGGCCCAGACAGAGCGTGCGATTGAGCCAGGCTCATCTATATGCTAGAGTTTGTAGAAGTAGCTTCTGGGAAACGGGGGTCTTCTTGGCTTGGGGAATTGATGTTTCCACGGCAATATCTGAAATGCATTCAGAGTGAGCCGGAAGAAGAGATAGAGTACATAGGGTCTCCCGCTCCACATCAGGGTCATGCGGAATAGTGGGAAATCCGTGGGTCGCAGAGTGACGAATTGGGCAGATGGGGAAATCATGAAGACTCAGAGCATTCATATTTTTACATTCCTTATTACCCCAATTGCTGTGCAGGTGCTGGCCTGGCCAGGCCGAGGTCCCATTCGGCAGCACATCCCCCTCCTACATCACCAAGGAGTCGATATGGGGGCTGCAGTGGGGGAGGGGATGATGGACAGTGGGGACCTGCGCTTATTGAAGAAAGGGACTATTGGTTATGTGCACACCTAGGAGCCAAAGAAAATATCTTCTCTGCTTGCGGGCTTTGCTCGAACAGCCAGGGAGGTAATGAAAGAACAGTAAAGAACCCTGGACTGCAAGCCTGTTTTCTCTTAATAACAAGGTGAGCTCAAGATCACACAGTAGCACAATTAGGCATCTGTTTGTGTTTGTCACTAGCCCATGACTTTTAGTACCACACTCTGACCTTGTTGATTCTTGTTGATATTAGAGCTTCTGTTGCCTGCTCTGTGCCTGGCTCATGTAGGGTGCTGAGCAAATATTTGTTGATTGGATAAATGAGGCAGGGAGAAAATAATTTGTTGGGAGGGACACAAACATTCGTCCAGCCCACCCTCTTCACTTTAAAGGTAGAGAAATTAAAGACTAGATGGGTGAAATAACTTGGTTAAAATCCCTCTACTTGTCAGTTACAGAAATAAAAATAAGAAGGACAACAGTGGTGATGACATTGATAGTTAACACCTTCAAACACTTCATGCCAGGAATTATGCAAACCACCTATGTCAGTGGTTTGTTGGTAGTTCTTAGCTTCGTACTCGCTCTTCTATTTTCTCCTCCAAGGTTTGGAAACCTGAAAAGTGCATTTCCCAAACATCCCTGCTAGCTTTGGTTAGGTTCAGCCAGTGGTTCCTACCATACTCACAGAAGACTGGAACATGGGAGCAAGGAAGAAGTCATTATTTATATATTTGACTTAAATCATTGCCTGTGTGACCCCAGTGGTGGCAATAGCAGCCCATATCTGGAGCTGGCTGCTGGGCCTGTGCCTGTGGCTGGGGGACGGTACCTGTGGTTTGTTGGGCACCTGGGCAGGCACAGCATCTGCAAGGGCATGAGTCCTGGCTCCTGCTCAGGGCATCCTGGGGACAGCAGTGGGCACAGTGGGCCTGGAGCAACCTCATGGGCAGAGCTTATGGGTCCTGGAAACTCTCTTTCCCTTTGGTATTCTTCAACAGAGTGAGGTCTGTCTGCAGTCACTAATCTCTGGGTAACCTTCCTACTTGTACTCCGAAGTCCTTCAAGCATTTGTAGCCAATCTCTTCTGTTCAACACTCCCTGTTAAAACACAAAGAATGGCTTCCACTTCCTGACAGGATGCTTTGCGATGCAGTGCATCTTGTGGCTTCTCTCACTGGATTTTTACAAAAAACTCTGACATGCAAGGTGTTGCAATACTGCCTGTTCGGGTTTCTCCCCTGTGACGCCCCTCTGCCATGTGTCACCCTGCCTTGGAGCCAGCTGATTATGGACTGAAACCTTTACAAACTTGCCAAACCTAAATCTGAAATCCACATGTCTATGGCCTCTCCGGTCACTGTGTCCATGGAGACCGTATCCAATCAAAATAATGATCAACCTACCATTGCTGTCCCTCCCACTGCCCAGCAGCCGCCTCCAACCATTCCAACCATGATTGCCGCAGCTAGTCCCCCATCCCAGCCAGCCGCTGCTCTCTCAACCATTCCTGGAGCTGTCCGCATCACTCCACCCATCACGACTATTGCAGCTGCACCACTACCAACAGCCACCGTGAGTGGCAGCCTCTCCTCTGTCATAGGCCCCCCTATGCCTGAGATCAAAGTGAAAGAGGAAGTTGACCCAATGGACATCATGAGGCCAGTTTCCTCAGTTCCTCCGCTGGCCACCAACACTGTGTCTCCATCTCTCACATTGCTGGCGAATAACCTGTCCATGCCTACAAGTGACCTATCACCTGGTGCCTCCCCAAGAAAAAAGCCTCGGAAACAGCAGTACGTGATCTCAACAGAAGAAGGGGATATGATGGAGACAAACAGCACTGATGACGAGAAGTCTACTGCCAAGAGTCTGCTGGTGAAGGCTGAGAAGCGCAAGTCCCCTCCCAAGGAGTATATCAATGAAGAAGGTGTGAGGTATGTCCCAGTTCATCCAAGACCTCCCATTACTCTGCTTCGTCACTACCAGAACCCTTGGAAAGCTGCCTACCACCACTTTCAGAGGTACAGTGACATCCGAGTCAAAGAGGAGAAGAAAGCTATGCAGCAGGAAATAGCTAATCAGAAAGGGGTATCCTGTCATGCCCAGGGCTGGAAAGTCCACCTCTGTGCTGCCCAGTTACTACAGCTGACAAATCTGGAACATGATATTTTTGAAAGACTTACCAGCCTACAGGAAGGAATTATCCCAAAGAAAAAAGCAGCAACTGATGATGATCTGCACCAAATAAATGAACTAATACAGGGAAACATGCAAAGGTGCAAGCTTGTGATGGATCAGATCAGTGAGGCCAGGGACTCCATGCTTAAAGTTTTAGATCATAAAGATCGTGTCCTGAAGCTTCTAAACAAGGATGGGACTGTCAAGAAAGTGTCAAAATTAAAGCGAAAGGAAAAAGTCTAGACCAAGAAGAATCAAGAGTTTGGAAACAGAATTTATGAAGAATGATGGTGGGGGTGGGGGGAGGGGGGAGGGTTTTGGTTGTTTTCAAAGGAACATTGAAATAAAGGTAGTGTTCCTTCATTCACACGTGAAAGCAGAGGGGGACCCATGGCATCCAGTGGCGCAAATGGATCGCAGTTGACTTGACACAGCGAGCAGTGTTTTTCTTTAGGCACATCCCTGTTACATCTGCCCTGTGTCACAGTGACTCCTGAGGTGCAGTGACACAGATGGCTGCCTGGCGTTTTTCAGCCTCTAGTTTATAGACTGTATCTGGTGGATTCCGGTAGGACCCACACAGACTGGATTGAAAGCATCCACTCAGACCACCTGTTGTCTCTCTACACTGAAAATAAAGCCTCTTCTCCTTGCCCCAGTCAGTTCTTCTGTCTGACCTTCAGATGCCCTAGTTGGCCTTTTACAGTAGTGCCACAGCACCAAGAGAGGCTGCCACATCACACACTAGAGTTTGAACTATCAGTTCTTGTTGCTTTTTTTAAAGAACCATTTCCAAGTGAAGTTGTTACACCAGCTGTCCTGCGTTTGTCAGAAATGGATTTTTATGGAGGTTCAGAGCAGGCAACACCAAATATTGCTCTGAGATCCTGTTCTGAAGTACGTTCCTGGTTCTCTGTACTTCTGTAGCTGGTGTGATGCTGTTAATTGTACCACACATCTCCAGATGTTAATAAAGGACTCCAAGAAGTTTTGTACATAAAAAAAAAAAAAATACTGCCTGTTTGCTTGTGAGATGCGGCTGAGACACTGTGAGCCTTGTCCGAGAGCACACAGGTCGGTGCTGGCCCGGCAAGGATATGAACCAGGTTGTATGATGCATAGGTCCGTGAGTTGAATTCTGCCCACCACAAGTGCCTTAACTCCACCTGGATTATGTCATTCAGGTCCTTAGGATCCTCCTGTGCGGTGTGGGCTGACTGCAGTGTGCTCCGTTCTTGAGAATGCTCTCTCTCTAGGGCCTGTGTTTTCTTGCCTCTCTACCTGAGCCTCATGATGAAGTCATTTGCTTCGGTTGTTATTTTATTTTTTTTGAACCTTACGGAGACCGATCTTTCCTTTAACGGCAAAAGTTAAAATGGCTCTGATGGCAGAAGAAGCAGGGAGGTTATCTCCAACCATAGTCTGAAGGAAGAACAGGGAGGAGGTCGGATGGGCTCAGGGTTATAGCACTGGTGATGGCAGCCCCTAAGTCTGTCAGGACAACACTGTAGGACCCGGGCCCTGGATGAGGATGAGGTTGAGTGAGGACAGAGGATCATGGAGGAAAGCGGTTCTAGGAAACAGCTTTGAATGGTGCCCGGCACGCTGAGCACTCAGCACTCAAGCATTTAGCTTGAATCAAGGCAATGGGGTTGTGGTGGGCACATTCCCAGCAGCAGACCCTGCAGTCAGAAGTATCAGCAAACTAATTTCTACACTCCCAAGGCAAATTTTGCAGAACTCTCCTGCTTCCTTATTGGTGTCTGAGAACAGCTTCTGAGAGCCACCAGGTACACTTCAAGGGCTACACATTCTGCAAGGAAGACTAAGGCCTTCTCCACACCCTCCTCAACTTTCCCCATCTCTCTCTGAGTTCTGTCCACCTCCCCAGCTCCTAGCCCAGAAGCAGCCACTTCAGTGGGTCAGTGGGAAGCTCCCTGGACCTCAGGACTTTGCTTACAGCATCCCCTCCCTTATATCAAAACATCTGGCCCCACCTGCTCCTTGATTGAAACAGAGAGCTATTTTGATAAACTCTCTTGAACTGAGATATCAATAGCTTATTGTATCGGAAAATGTTCCCCTTCCAAAAAGCATTTTTATTTTAACACTGGCCTTCAGCACTTCATTCAAAAGGAGTGAGTAATGTAGAATTTCCATTGACAGGACAGTTTATACCCTAAGAATGCATTCAGCTGTTACAGAAAGCCATACTTGGGTGGCTTAAACAAGTAAAGGTTTTTATTTGTTCCAGGGTACATGCACAAAAAGTCTTGACTTAGCTCACGGAGGCTTGTCTGAGAGCTCTGTCTGTAATGTCTCCAAGCCTGGGCCTCCTCCTTTCTTTCTATGTCATCCCCACAATCGCACAATGGCAAGGTGGCATCTGCTCCTTCAAATGTCACAGCCACAAAGGAGCAATGGAGAAATCATTATTTATATATTTAGGTGGAAGACAAAGGGGCACAGAGAAGAAACATCTCCGCAGGGACTCCTGTGTGCATCACCTGGGCCAGAAGGGACTCACGGGCCCAACCCCAGTGCAAGGGGGGCCAGGGAAGGGAGTTTTAAACAGTTGGACGTAGTGACTTTCAAAACCAAAATGGAGGATGTGCTAGGAAGTGGAAAGAGGAATGGATGGGGTGCTGGCAATAGCAGCATCGGCAACAAAACAGCAACAGGCAGGAGCCATGAATACTTTGAGAAACATTTTTTTCCACCCTCTTTTTCTGGCTAAAGGACACAGTGAAGTGCAGAGGCGTGAAGGGAAGGTGCTGTGTGAACCCAGACCAGCACCCAGGGCATGGTTTGCCTGCCACCCCCACTGCCACAGGGCTGCTGACCTGGAGGAGAAGGCTGCTGGGGATAGGCGCAGGACCACCTTTTTCCCACTGCCACCAGCCCTACACATTGCACAAGGCCCTGCTTCCCTAGGGGACAATTAAAACAGCTTTGATTTCCACCTTAATGGTCATCTTTACGGGAGATGTACTCAGGGTACTCAGTACATCCACAAAACTTAAGCAGCAATCACCCTCTCCCATCTTTTACTTCTCATTGCTAATCTTGTGCTGCTTTTTTTTTTTTTTCCAGGTATGGAGTTCAGAGAAATGGGACTTGGAATAAAGGCAATGACATTTTTAATTCATTCAAATGCAAAGTACTTTACTTTCCAAGTATCAAACAGCTTAGAAGCACATGCATATCCTTCCTGAAATAATGTGGCTTCCTATCTGGATTATATATCCCCTCCCATAAATGCTGTTACACATAGCTCTCTTGCACAGAGCTGTGTCGAGGTTGTGAGCGGCCCCATCTTTTATTCAAGAATATCAGTATCAGTCTTCCATGTTCATTCTCAGTTTCTACAAATAAATTATTTCCTTTGAATATTCCCAGGGCTCTTTCGTGATTTGGGGCAGATGAACATTTCCTCTGGTTTCCTAATCCCCATGAAATGGGCTATAACTAGAACAATGCAGTGAAATTTGGGGGAAGTAAAGGTAGTTTCTAACCCATAAACAACCTTCCACTCTTGAAAAGATCCCTCTGAGTCTCACAGGTGGAAAATGCAGTCCCATGATGGGCTCTGGAGGACACACGGGGTGTGATTTCTATCTCTTGAAACATTTAAAATGTATTTGATCAAAGGAGGAGAACATTAACTACAGTGTAGGAAGCTGGCAGGGGGACCGACAAGATGACCTAATTTGCCTTTCCCATTACTAATTTCAGTAGGGGTCTTCTCTGGGAATTCCACACTGAGATTCCAAGGCAAGAGCGCCTCAACGGGAATCTGGCTGTGGAAAATGACAATCAGAACTCCTGATTTTCAAAGCCTCCACTGTTGCATCCTTAGGGGTTTAGCAAGGAACTGAATTCTCTTCAGATGGATACACAGGGCCCCTTCTTATCTACATAATAACTTCAGAGAAATTTTCCCTTTGGGTTTCAAAGGACGTAAGATTGGCCCATCAAAGTTAGGGCTATGCAGTGAATTCATTACTTGCTGAAATAAAAATCAACACAAATATATCTTTGCCTTAAAAAAAAAAACCCATACCACTTAGTTGCTTTACCAACCTCTGGATTCAATTAATTTTTAACGTGGAAGTAAAGTCCCTTTTATTTTTTTCCCCCTTTCAAGCCAGACATTTATTTTTAACAAGGGATGAAATCATCTGAGAACGAAAAGGGACATCTGTTACTTTATATCTGTTTATTTTAAGTACTTAAATCTGAGTTTGATTTCACACAATTTTGACATTGTTATTTCATTAATAAACCTTACGTAATTGCGACCTCAGAGTGAGCCCCAAGATTGCACATTCACTTCTCGTTAGTGCAGAGTCTGATAGGAAAGCCAGACTCACCCTGGGATGGGAGAAGCATCCATGCTCAAGGCTGGCTCAAATGACAACTTGGCCAACAGCAGCAAACCACCCCAGAGAGTGCGAAGAAAAGCCCCTGATGGGTCCCGCGTGGGCGGGGGTGGCGTCCGCCCGTTAATATTGGCAGGGTGCTATTTTGCAGGAGTTGCTGCATGAGCAATCTAGAGGCGGTAGTTGCTGCAAGACAAATACAAGATTACACAGGAAACATGTAAACTAACGCATGCGCAGATGTGCACAAAGACACGGCTTCCCCCCAGGTTAGTCCGCCACTTTCCAGAGGCCGGAGATGCTGTGCCTAGCACCGGGCGGGTGGGGGGGGGTGTGTGGCAGAATCGAGTGGCAGAGGGGAGCGCGGAGCCTGCTTCACAGAGAGGGCCCTGGCTGTGGACTGAGAATGGAGTGGTCGGTGGGGCTCCGAGCTGGGAATTTGAAATAAGGGCAGTGGGATTTTTTAAATTGATTAATTCAACTCATTAACAGAAGAGATATTTAATATGAACTATGTCCAGCACTGGGTATACATTGATAAATAGACGACCCTTCCCTTTAAGAAGAAGGACGAAGGACAGAGGGGCCTTTTGAAATTTGCGCTATCGAGGGAGGAGATTCAAAGAGGCAAACTGTACATTGAGATCTAAAGGATGGGAAGAAGCTGGACAGGAAAGGAAAAGGGAGAGAGAATGCAAGGAACAGGGGGCAGGTGAATGGAAAGTGGCCAGCTGTGGAAGAAAGGGAAGGGGCCCAGTGCTGTGAGCAACAGAGGGAGCAGAGGTGGAGGGAGGGAGGAGGCCGGGAGGGAGGAGACCGGAGGGAGGAGGTGGGGATGAGCCTGGTCCTCTAGGCCAAGGGGATGCGCCCAGATTTAACTGTCTCACGAAGGAACTTGCTGGTGGACTTGAGCAGG